TTATATATACGCCTGAGCGGAAAACCGTGCTCGGTAAAACAAACAGAATTAAAACAAAGAGGAAGTTTTCCGTTCATATTTTCTTCACAATCAACTCTGACTCCAACTGTGATATTTCTTTGTTTTACTTATGTTTGTTTTATCGAGCACGGTTTGGTAAGCGCGCAGCATGCAAACGCGGCTTTATTCAAAATCTCAAGGTCCTTTGATTGATCCTCATTCTCCAATCCATGAGAAAAATCCAAACTGGGGACTACTGTCGCTCAAAAAAATATTGCGCTTATTAAAGACCCCAAATATAACGCCGGTTCCAATAAGTCAGACAAGAACCAAGTAAATTAAAGGCAAATTTATTTTACTTAAAAAATAAAATAATTATTGGTTAATATAAATGAACGACTTCTCGGTAGGGAAATGTACCCATACTAAATCTATAAGAACTTCACGTTCCATATAACTGTTCTTAACTATTCTTAATACTATTCTGAAACTTTCAGCATAAGATCATCGGCGAATACGAAGTGAAACTAACTTTTTTCAGCTTTCGAAAAGTGTCCCATAGTGAAACTTTAAAACGAGCTAAACTCCATCAATAAGAACTACATCCTCCATGTAACTGGAACCTGTGTGCGGTAAAATCCCTTAGCTCTCGAGTACTTCGAAAATTGTCCATCAAAGTGCACACTTCCTCTTCCTGATCTCCAGATAGACGACGATTACTTATATACAGACCCCGCTGACCCACATGGAAGTCATGGTTGTGCACCAGACAACGTTTCATCACCCTGCACTCCCTCCCGACCGCGCGAATTCCAACGAATGCCGGACAATCGATATTTTGCAGCCTGAAACTGGTTAAATACATTATAAATGAGAGGCATAATTACCTGCTTACAGTTGCGCCGCGCCTTCTGTGATGTACACAGCAATATTTGATAAAATAGTACGGAAAACCCTCAGGCAGAGTCAGTTTCCGACCAAACTTTCTTTCCCGTATCAGTTGTTTGGCTGTCACTGACGCATAGACGTAGAAAGAAGTGCAAGTAACACTTTGGAATTCACGGAAGTCCTACAAGAATCCCTCCAACGATCCATAGCAATGTTTTACCATTCGTTCAAAAACGACCGTATCGTCAACATGAGCCATGAGCACCGTGTCGCCCACCTCGAGCTCACCTGGTGCAAGAAACTGGACTCCATCTGGCTCTGCCGCAAGTCCTGGGTCCTGGACATTCGAGCCAAGTTCTTTAAAAGTCGCGTAATCCCTTACTGGAATTGTTTACCCGAAGATGTGGTAAGTTGCTAGAACGTCGTAGCCTTTAAGAAAGTAATAGATGACTGTTGGACTTCTACATTCCCTGAAACAGTTTGAAGCTTATTGCCTATTAGTCCTGAGCGCCATTGCCTAGGACGTGATATGCACCTCACATTCTGCCTTTCAGACAAAACCCATTGACTCGAAGTGCTGGAAGCCACAAGATCAGCCAATACCACATCAGTCTGGGCCACACATCGTCCCGTGCAAACTGAACTGAACTGAACTGTCCTGTGCTCTCCTGTCCTGTCCTGAACTGGTCAAATGGGTCAAGTGGGACTTACCTTTGAATCTAAACAAGTGTCGATTCTTAGCAACGAGAGCGGGGGTATACTCGTTGAATGGAGCTTATCATTGGCCCGGCGCGGGCGGTGTTTGATGCGGCGCGAAGAGGTCCGGAGAGGATGGAGTGGGTAACCCCAATGGACGTTCTGATGGCGGTTTTCGACACCCCGGCCGACTGCCAGGAGGCGTTGCGTTGCTTCAGGGCGATGCGTCTCGGAGTTGGCCTGGATCCCCGTTCGCGTGCCATGACTCTGCACGGCCTGTTGAATCGAGCGCTCCCGACGGTGAACGAAATCACGCTTTCGGAACCACTGCTCGGTCGTTTTAGGGAGATCCTGCCGGAAGATTTGCGGAGATAGCATGGATAATTATTACCGAGAAGACCATGGATGTATTGAAAGTGACGGATGTCTTGATGGAGTTCACCTGGAAGGTCATGCCTGTTCAGGATGGATAGTGCGTGTGAGAGGAGGACGGGTACAAGGTGGCTTGAGGTTGTGGGTGGGTACACATGCATACATTCGCGTGCTTTCAATGTTCCTGAACCAACCACTGCGAATTTGCTTGTTCTGAAATGTTGACTTTTGACTGGTGGTCATCGAACCATCGACCTTGATGGCTAGTATTTTGTCAGGGGATTGTAACATCACAATGTTATCTTGCTAATATGTGGTTCACGGCTATTGAGGCTGCACAATTTGGGCCAATGTGCCTAGGTCATACAAATGCGAGACACTACACCGACAGGGACAATTGGCAAGCATCTGGATAGTTAAACCAGTCCTTATGTCATTGTCCCGATTTAGTGCAATTTCCTTTTATTTGGGGATGAAACAAGTAATCCTGATTCGCAATAGGACTGGAGACACGTGCACGTATGGAATTCTGCGTAATAATCCGGTCAAATGCTATACTATACTCGGTCCGAATAAAATCGGAACACATTGATCCATAACGAAATCGTAGTGGAATGAGCGAAAAGTGGGAATGTAGAAGGATGTCAGTATTAATAATACCAACAAGTCCATAGTCTTTGTACAAGCACCATCGTCATTTGAAGTTTATTTACTCTACGTGAGGACGAAATTATTAGTAAAAATTGAAATCCAGGTGCCGCAGTTCGATCAGCTAGTAAGCAAACACCAGAAAGAGAAACAACCTTGTTTGTGGTGCAACACTCACCAGTGAAAATGAGCAAGGGTAACCGAAAAGGTAAACCGCGATCATGTGCCCTTGTGTATGCATGTGTATGATCAATAATGTAGGAAGTGCGTGGTAGTTCGAACCATTCTGCATAGGTATCCTGTATCCTGTATCATTTCGCTGCATCTGTACACGTACATACTGCAATCTATGTGATCATTAATATAGGGCCAGTAAATAATAAAATCATAGGCGGAGAAAGATTGCGATCAAAGTTACTCACCAAACATTTGTTACCAAGATAACGCCATAGTGATAAACCATTCACGCTGTTTACACAGTTTGGGATGATAATTTTGAATGGTTAGTGCATCGACGTATTTCAGAACCTTGGTGTTCTTTGTGTAATTTGCATCGCCGAACTACTCGATCACGTAAGCGTTACTCTAGCATTGATTTCTAAGGCTGTCTGAGGTAAATCTATAGAGCTGACTGCTCTTATAACACGAAATGGGGATTGTTCGACCGAATAGCGATCGCTTGGGCGTATGACAGTAGGCGATGCTTGACCTACTTTGATCACATATTCGGTAATCTCGTCCCGATTACCGGAATAGTTTGTCCGTGCATTGGAATTGAGCCGATCCTGGAACCGTTAGTGAAGACATTGTGGACTGAATCCTCAGAAAACCCGGGAACGAATACTTTAAACAGTCAACATCCTGCTATGTCGCATTCTTCGGGAATTCGAAAAAGCGGGTAAATCCCGGGAACTGCGACATAGAGTGTTTGTCAGTATTAGTAAATATTATTATGTAGTATGAAAAATCGGTTCGGTGTTTCGCGAGAAAATAAACCGGATCGATGAACAGCAGGTTATTACCTTTGGTTGTTCTCAACGTTTATAATTATGTACAGTTTATTATTTATTTACATTGGAATTTAGATCCATTAACCATTTACCCGTGATGCGCTATAGATATTCTCCTGTTCACTTAGTATTGTGTCCTCTGTACATATT